CAGTCATGCAGTCAATCAATCAATCAATCACTCGTTCATTCGTTCGTTTATTCCATAGACTGAACATTAAGCATATAACACAAGTTAATCTCATTTATTTATTATTCATCAGTCTTTGACGCAAATGAAAGGAATTGTAGCAGTGTTATGGACGATAATAACAGCTCTCGCCACGACTTCTCAATTTGCTATCTCCTTGACTTTATCTTTTTGAATTCTCTGATCATTTCCTGCTATCATACAGTAATATTAATTCATTACTAAAGTAGTAAATTTCCTAAATCAATATAACATATAATGCCATATAATAATGCAAATAATAGGTACATGACTTAATAGTAATAATATTAATAATTGATAGTTGCTTGCAGAACAGATACTTTTATTACGCATGTTTGTATTAATATTGTGGTGAGCAGTGAAAATGGTGAAATGTATACAGAAGCATAGTGCTTCTGAGCACAGTTCTAAGAACATATTCCAAAACAATAACAAAATTCATGACAGAATAAGTGAGCAAAGTAAATAATGGCATTGGTTTGTATCAAAACCTGATATACACAGAACAACGTGCCTCATCTTACACGGAGCTGTGGAAATCTGTCTTTTGTCTTTACGGAAAGCATGTTTGTATACTTCAGCTTTGGTGCATGCAGTGAAAAAACGAATTTTTTGGTACTGATAACTGTTTAAATATTAATTTTTTTAAAGTTTGTCTTATATTCTTTTATTTATTGGCGTTCTAAATTTTTCGCAATGTATTGAAGTAATACTTGTTATGAAGCGAAATCTACGTAAGGATTTAAAAATGAGCTTTCTCTGCAAACGTTTTATCAACTGGTGAAATTGTGTTATGAAAAATGTTGATAGCAGCAATTCAGTGATAATGGATAAAGTGATTAAAAGAGTAGCAAGCATTTGAAATAATCAAGAAAAATAACTAATTTTTTCAAATTCAACGTGAATACTTGATTAATATCAGGGATTTAAGCTGACTTCATTATGTTTCAGTAGTACAAAGAAAGCAGTGCAATACTTTTTTATTTTTTACAAAGATCTATGTACTGCTAGCGCTGTTTTATTTTATACAAAGATAAGATCTATGATCTATTTGATTTCCTCTTTGAAGTATGATTTTATCTTCACTTTCAAAGTTTATGCAGTACTCAAATGTATTGCTTATTCCTGAATTCTATTCGTTGTAGTAATGACGGATTTAGTTGGCGAAGTCTTAAAATCAGAACAAAAGTTCTGATTACAAATTATTGAATAAAACAGCGCTAGCAGTATGAATGTATTCGCAGTCAACCACATGAGACATTATGTATTCTTTGTTAGAGTGAATTTGCCAAGTTGTCATTTGCTTAAATTTTGAATTTGATTGCTTATCTGCGATATTTGAAAGATCTGAGCAGCAGGCACACTGATATAGCAATTTGCAAGCTTTTTAATCAGCAAAGTTTTCATTTCACAACATATGAATAATATTGAATAAGCATTATTTTATGTAATTGCAATTCGCGGTCAAAATAATTACGCTAAAATTACAATATTTGCTAAGATCGAGAATGAGACGAGATTTGAGATAAGATCTATGTTCTATTGTATTTGTTGAACTAAAAATAGAGGATGAAATTTAAAACTCAACTGAAAAATATTTCACTCTGATTATCAGTTTTAGATAATTGAGCAGAAATGTTTAAATATTTTCAACTATTTTATTTTGTTAAATTTATTCTATTCTGTTGAGCTTTTTCAACTGATTTTTTGGATTTTTTAGTTCGATGACGTCTTCGATTATAGATAGATTCAATTTGTGACATATCGCCCAATTGCTGCTGATACGATGTTGGGTCTGCATTCACTCCCAGCGCTTTGGAAGATCTGGGAGGGCAAGGGCAGTACGCGGCATCAGTGCCAGGTAATCCCGGTTGTCCAGGCTGAAATATTTTCTTCTTTATATTATCTTATTTTTCTCGCATTTAATATTGTGGTCAATAGGGATCAAATATATTCTTTTATTAACATGCGTAAAATGAACTTAGCAAAAAGTTACCAGTCCTGATACTCCAGGTGTTCCAGGAATTCCGGGCTCTCCCTCAGGCCCTTCGGGTCCTGGTGGACCTATTGGACCAATGCTGCCAGGCACACCAGGTGCACCAGCATCTCCAGGTGCACCGATAGATCCTGGTAATCCTTTCGCTCCTGGTTGGCCACGTCCCATTATTGCAGGTGTTCCTGGTTCTCCAGCTCTTCCAGGTGGTCCAGGCAAACCTGGAAAAAATTTTTATCAACTCTATTAACAAATATTTCTTTCGTTTTTGCATTATATCAAAGTGGATGGATACAGATAACTTGCCTGGTGTACCCATGTCTCCAGGAGGTCCTGGTTGCCCTGGTAATCCAGCACTGCTAGGATCACCATTTTGCCCTGGTTTTCCAGGCGGCCCTGGCTCTCCCATCGGACCCACTGAACCTGGTTCTCCAGGAGGTCCTGATGGGCATATGATGCAACCTCCTCGGGTATCAACACCAGTTGATACAGAAATACCATCTAAACCTCGCTTCCCATCAAGGCCACGTTCACCTGGTTCTAAAAATTAAATTCACAATGCATTTTTAACTGACTTTTCATTGACTTTGGTATTATCAATTATTATTAGTACTATTTCTGATTATTATTATTATTATTATTATTATTGTTATTATTATTATTAATTATCACTACCTTTTACTATCCTTATTATTCATTTATTGCTACTGTAATTGCTATCATTATTATCATAATTAATATCACTTGTGTCTTAGTTATTAAATTAATGATTTGTATCTGAAGAACCTCCTGCTTCTCCAGGTTCTCCAGGTAATCCCGGCGGTCCTGCTGGGCAGTTCACTGCTTTGAGTGCGCAAGCTGCAAAATGTACTTACTGATTACGTGAAAAGTTTTACTATTAGTATTTGACAAGTTTTTTTTTTGTTCAGCAATAACTTTCAAAAAATTTGATTTTAAAATCGAGAAAATAATGAGTAAAATTTGAGTAAAACAAAAACACACCGCATATTGAAGAACGTTTCTGACGTGACTTCAACCCAATCAAAGTAGTGAATGAATCTTTTTCGGTTATGACAGGTCTATGAGCTATCTGGACACTCATTATTTCATCCCACGCATCGTTAGCTAACGTCTAAAATTATGTTCAAAGTGTATTGCACTTAATCAGGTCAATAGTCACTTCATCTATTTCTAATATCAGTCATTTAATTGTAATATTTGCAACTTAATATTTCTCTTTCTTGCAGCCTCAAGAATGCTGTCGCGCAACAATTTCTCAGTTTTCTAAAAATTTTTAAAGAATCACAAGAATAAAACATATTGACCTATTTAAAATAAAAATGAGTGAATAATTATTCAAATTAAGCAAAGGAAGAAATAATTTAAAAGAGATAATTTCTGAAGTAATTCTTTGCATTTGAAAAAATCTTTCACTAAAGTGTGTGTATTGCTTTTATTACCAGTATGTTACTTTAAAAACTTCTCACTTCGATGTTATAAGTCTCAGAAATGAAAAGATGAAATCACTGAAAAAGCTAACTTTAAACTCGTTCATATCGTCCAGAACTTCATAATAAAAGCTGTTGATACTTTGAAAGAGCACGCCAACAATGACCAATGAAGATATAATCACAAGACCACTTGCAGCAGAAGCAATATTCACAAGTGTTTGCGTTCCCATATCTAACATTTACTCATATCAAACAAGTAATTGTTATCAATTAAATATCAATGAGGCAGATAATTCCTTTTCGATCTTAAAGAATAAAAAAATTTTTTCATTTGCTAAGATTTTATTAACAAATTTTCATTGCTGAGATTAAATTATGAGTTAATAACTGATAAAAAGATATGATTACTTTATGAAAAAATTAGTACCTTAATAATTATGAAAATAATGAAAGACAGTAAGTACTAATAACATTACTTTTTACTCATAAGAAATGATCTTAATGTTGAAGTGAGGTAATGGACACTGCTAATAACAGCAATTATTATTTATCTAATAAAATTAAAATTTAAAATTCAAAAAACCGTACTAAATTTCTTACTTTCAATATTCAGTCTAAAAATTTTTAAATCAAAGCAAATAACATATTATTAGTTTTAAATAAACTAAATAAACTAACTAGTAATGTTCGTATCTGAACCTTATTAGAGTGTTGCTTTTTGAGCAAGCTATGGCTTAGACTTAATAATCTGTTATGGCAGATTATTTTTCTGTTGGAATTACTCAATTAAATTGTTATTAAGAAAGATTTAATAAAATGAAAGAAGTAAACTCTCACGGACGGATAAAGTCGAAATGGGAAATGAGTCTGAAAGAAATAGAAACTAATCTTTAAGTAAATAAAATAGCAAATAGTTAAGAAAATTAAGTAGTGAATTCAGCGCTAAAGTAAAAGTTTATATAAGGTAAGTAAATTATGAACTCCACCTCTTCTAAAACCTGTTTTTCATGCGCAACAAAGATATGGTGCGAAAAAAATGCTCACCACATCTTGTTTTTATTTGCCTCTCATTGATATCGTACTTTGGATAATCACTTGTTCTTGTTTTATTGCTCTTTTTTTGTCGTATGTTTTTTCGTTTTACTTGCTAACAGATTTAAATCATTCTTGTTTTTAATGTCTGAATTCAATTTCTTCTTATAACAAAAAAATAAAACTATAATAAGTAATTTTTTCTTTTGAATTCAATATTTTTCAATATTTCAATTAAATTTAATGATTATATTTGTTGATAGAATTGTTTTCATTGCAGCATATTACTTGAAAAATTAAATTTGAATTTTAAATTTGATATTTTGCTAATAGATTTTGAAAAAATTCTCGTATTCGAACAAATTTTGATTGATTAAAAAAATATTTTAATACTTTAATTTTAATTAGCTTGGTAATTAGTATTTTTAATTCAATTCCAATTTTATTAGTTTGAAAAAAGTAGTTATTTTGGTTTTATATATGTAAGCTATTTTATATAAGATTTGTTCTTGACATGATACAATGCACCAACTAATAAAATCTGTTATTGCAAAGAAATAGAACAAATTTGTCATTACTCTAATCATTCAGTAAAAAATGTCTACTGCTTCACTTTCATTTTATTTTGCAGAATTAAATTACAAATAACTTTAATTGAATAAATTTTATTACAGATTGTACCACAATTAATAAAAAAATGTTATAATCTAGCTTAGTTCTTCCACTACTTTTTTATTTAGCAGTATTCAGATTTTAGGTTGAAAATAACCATTTCATGACTTGAGCATTTTTAAACCCTGCTCACTGATGTTCAATCTTTCAAATTTACATATCACTTTACACTCATTTGTCAACACAGTAATTCTGAATTATTCTATGATTTAAAAAGCAATAAGAATTTACAATTTAAGTAGATAAACACTGTTGACTTTTTGATCGATTTTATGTACTGTCTTTTGTTTGATATTCTATAACAGTTTATCCATGTGAAACAAAAACGAAAAAACTTTTAATAGACTATTTTGCCCTGAAATTCGAAGACTTTGTTGAAAAAATTCCAAAAAATTATTATTTCGTTGTCTTTCCCGCTTTTTTTGCATGATAATCCATCGAATCAAAGTTTTTGCAACTGATGAATTTATTGACAATAAAATTTTTAAAGATTAAAATATCATTCACATTTTGACAAAAGTGTACTATACTGCATTTAGAAATCAGATACACTGAGGTGGATAAAAACAATCTTTCAATAATTCTTAAACAGAAGTTCAGCGGGAAATAAGTTGTTTACTTTTTCATTTTGTGCTTAAACATTTTGCATATTCTTTTGAGCTAAACTTCTCACGTAATTGCCTTGTAATGCTCGAAATTACACATTTTTGGATGTATATCTTTGTAGAAAATAAAAAATGGCATTGTTGATTTGTGAGGATTACGAACTCACTTTTATTCAAAAATGTTTTATCGCATGCATAGCTTTTAGTTGTCATACAAATTTTGATTCTTTAGTTATTTTTTCGCTACTTTAAAAAAAGCACACATTACTAAACGACTTTCACTATCTGTTTAAGCCCAGTTTTTATGTAATTAGACTTTATTTAGTTAAGTAACCTCTGAACTCATTTCTATTACAATTTATGATCCAAGTTCTATATGATTGTTAATATTTATCGAGCTGATGTAATATACTGGTAATTTATGAATCAGTCAAAAACTCGAGAAGTTGTAAAAATATTTTGTTCCCAAAATATTTTTACAACTTCTCGAGTTTTTTCTCATTGAGTTCCGCACTTATATCGATTAAGCGAATAGTCAAATAAATTAAATTTGACAAATTGCATGCATTAATTTAATTAATAATCGAAAATGTTATTACTTCAGTTTTTTTGCTACTTATAAATTGATAGTTATATAGTAGTTGAAAAATAATCAAACGCTAATTACAATTTTTATTGTTTAGTTTTTTAAAGTTTGAAAACTAAAATTATATTTGTTTTGGATCTTACTAGCAACTTACTCAGAAATTATTATTCATGAATTCATTATAGTTAAAAATACTGAATATATTATAATTTTGAGCATTAATTTTTTAAATTTTGAAAAAGATAGTTTTGTATTTTTTTGCTTGTTAAAATGGCTTAATACAAAATGTTATCTTTAAAAAGTTATGTTTTCAAACAAAAATTAAACAAAAGTTTTGATGTGTAAATGAAAGAGAGCAAACTTTTTACCACTAATCCAATCATTATTTGCCTTTTGGATACTAAAGATGTCCACGCACTGCTAAACACGTTTTTGATTCGTTTTTATAAAGTTTATTTTTTATCAAATCACTGAAATTATATGTGCTCAATAACCTTGAAAATTACCTTTAATTATGCTTGCTAATGATATCAGAAAAACATTTTTATCGTTTTATAGTTAGCCAAGTCAATTATAATATGCACAAATCACTCAGTCAGTAATTATTGCAATTGCCATGGAGAAAGCAATTATGCATAAAATTATAAAATAGCATGAGTTTTTTCAAAAATTATTTATTATTGTATTACAATGTTATTAATTTTGTTATTAATCTTAATAATAGTTAAATAATATGAAATTTTTTGCTTGACTGCATACTTTGCTTAATAATACTATTAGTACTTCGTATTTAATTTTTAAACTGATTCGAATCTAAATTTCATAGTAAATTCCTTGCGTTTGCAAAATAATTTGAATAAAACGTATTCTGAAGTGTCTGTACAACAAAATAAACGAGCTTGATCATGAAATTGAAAACTAATATGTAATTTTGGTCAAAATAATGGAAGAAATATCCGCTTCTCAAAATCAAACTTCATCTTTTTTGTGATCAAACAGGTTATTTTTCTTATAATCACATCTTCGTAATGATTGGAAAGAAAAAATTTTAAATACAGAAATATAAATTGAAATTTTTTATCTGTTTAAGCTATACACAATAATTTTGTACGAAAAATTATACCGTTAATTGAAGTGATTTATTAGAGTACTTCAAACAAAACTAAAATTTAAAGAATCAGAACAGTATTGCAATCAGAGTTTGTCGGCGGAACCAAAATTACATCCAAGATCAATTTTAAAAAAATTGATAAGATAAGAAGTGAAGAAGATTAGAATAAACATGATTTATGCACACCCTCGTTATACGAGTGATGCCAAAGAAATATTTTTCGAAACATTAATTATTTATCGATAAAAAATAGTCATGAGAGTAAAATTGCACATTTTCAGTGATTCATTTAGCTGCGTATAAAATTCTCAGAACCCAAACTAAACTTTTTCTAGTTTTCAGCTTGTTTGAAAAGCTTCACTTAATGATTTAGTGTCTTTGAACGAGCAATAGTGTAGTGTGTACTTGTTATTTTAAATTTCATTTATGTTTCCTAAAATAAACAGTTTTCCAGATGGAAGTCAAGCGCAAATTTGATCTTAACTTTAATCAGTATTCTTTTCACACATTGTTTTATTAAAGTATGTATTTCAGACGAATTGCAAGAATGAATATGTATTCTTTGACAGATCGAACTACTGCTTGATTGCAAAATTTCTGAAAGAACAACAAATACTTTTTACATTTTTAATGTTTTTGGACCCACGCATATATCAAAAATTTAACAATTCAACTACAATTATAAATAATATCAATCATTTGTAGATACAAGATAGTTTAAACGCAAATTTACCATTTGTTTAAAAGTACATTAAAAACTGCAGTGCAGTATCAAACACTGCACTGAAACCGGAATTCTGAGTTCCTATTCAGAATCAGTATTATAAATTTTTCAAAATTCAAAAGACAAAAAATTTAGATTTGGGAAAAAAATTTTCAAAAAATACCAAACATGCACACATCAAATTTTATCTCTGAAGTTAAATTTTCGATTTATCGATCATTACTCATTTTTTACACACCAAATCATGCCTAAAAAATTCACAAAACTTGAAGGTCAAAGCTCAAGTCAGTTTTGAACATAATCAATAATCTTAAAAGTAATGGAGACCAATTTTACGAATGTAAATAGAACGTGTTTATCAAACCATCACTGCAACATTTTTGAAATTTTACTTGTTAATAAATAATAAATATTTAGAAAGCGATCTATTTCACCTTTGCCTAATGCTTTTGGAAATGAAAAGGATGCTGCGATATGTCACTCGTTCATTTCATTAAAAAATTGACCTA